CCATTCAAGACAGAGTAAAGTTTCATCGTAAATCAAAATTCCAAAGTATGTACTATAGTAAATTCTAGTTAACTTTAGTGATTTGTTTGTTAAGAATTTTGCCATTCATTTGAACAATCTATATAAAAATGTCTAAAAATCAATTATAATACATCTTGCTTTCTTATTTCTGCTTTTATTGTAAATCGAATCTGCATACAGCTATCCCAAATTTTCAATTTATAAATCTCAAAATGAGGATAATGTCTTTTATTATACTTCTCTTAAAATGTTTCCTAAATGTTTGTATATATGAAAATAATTTAATTTTGTTTGTATTCTAGCCTCTGATTGGTTAATATCCAAAAAGGAAAACAAATTATTTCTGTATAACCTGGTTTGGTATGGGGACCCCCCCCCCCCCCCGACAACCAGCTGAATCAACCTTATCCATACAATCCTCTCATTTCCAGTCCTCGGGATTCATGGAAAATTCCAGATTTAATAAATGTACCTTTAACTTCAAACAATAATTCGATCTTACCACATGTAAACATACAACAAGGCTGCTAGGCCTATGTATCAGTTTTTACCTCCCCTCGCTTCCCATCACTTCCGTTACTTCCGTTACTACGGTTGTATTATTGAGCGGCAAATTTGAACTAATAAAAAGCAACGAAATTTTACATCCTTAGTTATTTAATGATTTTAAAATTAAATTATAAGGAATGACTCTAATTCTTGGCCAAATCATTCGAGTATAACCTGGTTTGAGTCAGTTTACGCTGTTTTATAATCCGCTTCGCGGATTATAAAGCGTAAACTGACCCAAACCAGGTTATACTCGAATGATTTGGCCAAGAATTAGAGTCATTCCTAAAACATTTTCAAAAATAAAACATTAAAAAGTTTCTTAATGTAATATGAAGATAACAAACAATATTTCCATTTCTATTTGTTTTCTCTGTGATAACTCTTTGGAAGTTAGTTGAGTTGATTTTTTGATAATTCTACCGGAATATAAATTTTGCCAAGCGATAGGTCAAGAGCTAAGAAGGCATAATAAGCATGTAAATCTCGTGCGGCTGTCTTTGTGTTTGACGTCAGTGGGCGGGGACTATTGAAATTGACATGGGAGGCCTCGTGTAACTTAAATCTTTAAAATCTAAATTTACAATTTTATTTGACATTGAAATGGAAATATAAGGAATCATTGTCTAGTTAGTAGAGTATGCCAGGGACATCAACGATCGTTGGAAACGTGGGATAATTTGCATAACGGGCGAAGCCCTGGCATACTTTACTAACTAGACAGTGATTCCTTAAGAAACCAGGCTCAAATGTCAATTTAGAAAAAAAATTAGGAGCAGAGAAAACAGGGAGGTGTGATCAAATGCCATGGAGGAGTAAGCATCCCTGCCGAGCGGTCACACATGCTTTTGCATCGAATCAGCTGGGAGACATAAACTCTGTATACAGGTGATAATGGTATATTGCTACATAAATAAGGGAAGTTGACGATTGTAAAATTGAAGTCATCACGTTTATTATAAAGTTTTGTTGTCAGTTTGTTATCAATGTCTTTTTCTAGTAAAATATCTAAATATGAAACAGATGTTTCAAACTCTGTGGTGTCTTTCGAGTTCAACGTGATATATCGAATGAAACTTCTTATAACAGCCAATATTTATTTATGTAATACAAAATTTTCGCTTTCTGTGATATTTCTTTAAATGTAAAAAATTTTCGAACAAGACGTAAAACAACATACAATCAATAAATCAGTCAGTGAGATCAAATCAGATTATTGTCTCTTTTATCAAAATAAATGAATTACAAAAGGTTTGAATGCTAGCTTGCACTTCATAAACAAGTGAAATGATTAGAGCTTAGTTTTATAGTTTTTGACATCATAGCCGACTGCTTCCTCAATAAAAATGGAACACGTAACTTACATATCTTGTCACTGGTCAGCTGCAAATTTATTTTGTTAGAAACATTTGATTCCACACACAAGTACTCCGAAATTGTTATTTTAAAGACGCTTGAGATTCTCATTGACAATATGTAGTTTTCAAAAACCAGGTAAGATTATTTTTCAAAAATAAGCTTTATATCAATTAGCCTCTGAATAGTTATGGATAAAAGGGCTAGATTTTTTTTAAAATACTGCTATTGTTATTATCTACATATACTAAACCCCAGTCACATTTCTAAAAACGACCAATGGCCGACGGTTTTGGAGGCAAAAATTACCCGATTTTGACCTAAAATATTTGTCTGCCGAAATATTTTATGTCCGTCGGGTCAAGTTCTAATATTTTCTGCGTCGGTGGCCGATTTCTTCAATTGAAGCAGTCATTGAATTGTCCGTCTACCAACCCTCGATCATCGTCCGACCATCTGCTGACAGTTTATTGAGTCGGTCGTCGGTTGGTGTACGTTTTCCAAAATGTCGGCCAGCGGTTAGGGACCTGGACACAGTTGCATTGTTTACAATTTTAATTATATTTTCATTCAAAAAATAACTTCAGTTTAATGATTTGAAATTACCTGAATATTCTAAGAATTCAATGACAACGACTTTCTTCATAACATCACGAAAAACATCTTTGTTTGTAAACAGGGCACAAGCTCTGTTATTGTTAATGTTTACGTTTTACCAGGTGTGTTCAATTTGTTTCGACTGCACACATCACTGAGCACGGACTGACACTACTGGTGAGTTGGTTTTGCTTTCTCGCATTTCTACTCTGAATTTCCTGTATTATAGTTTTCAGATTTTTCTTTAATACACAACAAAATTACTACTTTTCTTAAGTATTATGGATAAAGTTTACTTCGTGAAAGTGCAAGGTTTTGTGCCAATCAATTTTTCCTGAAATTCGTAGTTTTAATAATTTCCAGGTGAAAGAAGTTTCTTAACACACTTTTATTATATTTCGGCCTGAAATTCTCTTGCACCATATAAATTATATTATATTGAAAATTTTAGAAAATATGAGCTTCAAATCTGTGTCTAAGCCTTCTTTATAATCAAACTGCAGCTCAGCGCTCGAGATCGGACGATGATTTACCAACTTATTAATATTTAAACTTCAAAAGTATTTGATGTTCCAAGTAATAAAATGACTGCCCGATACCAGTTTTGGCCGATCATGTTTTTTCAGACTATGATACCAGAAAAAATTTGGTCCCCGACCATCGTGACTCAGTGACTTAAATGTGACTCAGGTTTATCTCATACACGGAAACTTCTGAGTCAAACATTTTTGTCAACTTTATAACAGTACTTTGATTTGCAAATGTGTACCTTTTAAGCTACAACAGTTAGGAACACTCATAAAAGTTGACCATTGTTATAAGGGTTTCTGCAAAGAAAAAAATTACCTTGAGCAGAACCTTCAAGGCTTGCGTTATATCATCAGATTACTTATCTGACAAATTTTTGTTCTGCAGAAAATTAAAAAATTTAAAACTATTGTTGCTCCATTATTAATTCAATGTCATTATACTTGAGTTGATATTTTACAGATTTGGAACTGTCGGTTCGTTTAAGATATTTTCAGACATAAAAAAGTGATGGGATCATAAGAGATTGAAGTCGACCAAAAGAGAGTTAGCAAAGCATACCAGAGTGATAGGATCATTAGAGATAAAAGGTGACCAAAAGAGGATTAGCAAATCTTACCAGAGTGCTGAGATCATTAGAAATTGATTGATTGATTGTATGTTGTTTAACGTCCCGTTCGAGAATTTTGTTCTCATATAAAGACGTCACCGTAAACCGATGAAGGGATTCAAATTTAGTCCTTTACTCGGCACTCAGGGCCATTGAGCAGTGAGGGTTCTTTATCATGCCAACGCCTACCGTGACACGGAGCCTTGGTTTTTAAGGTCTCATCCTAAGGACCCGCAACTTTTACTTCAAAGTGTCGAGCGCTTGGCGAAGGAACAGTTACTACCTATTTTTTATCGACTTAGGTCAGTCGCGGCCGTAGATTCGAACACACGACCTTCCGATCCCGGAGCGAGCGCTCATTAGAAATTGAAGCTAACCAACAGAACATTAGCAAAGCTTACCAAAGTAATGGGATCATTTAAGCTTGAAGCTGACCAATAGAGGGTAAGCAAAGCCTGCCAGAGTAATCAATTCATTAGGGATTAAAGCTGACCAAAAGAGGGTTAAGAAAGCTTACCAGAGTTATGGACTGAAGCTGACCAAAAGAGGTTTAGCAAAACCTACCAGAGTAATTGATTCATTAGGGAATGAAGCTGACCACTAGAGAGTTAGTAAAGCCTACCAGAGTAAGCGATGCATTAGAAATTAAAAATGAAAGTCTTAGTAAAGTCTACCACAAGGATCGGAATTAAAGATTGAAGCTGTCCAACAGAGGGTCAGCAATGCTTACCAAAATAATGGGATCTTTAAAGCTTGAATATAACTAATAGAGGGTAAGCAAAGCACACCAGAGCTTACCAGAATGAGATCATTTGAGATTGAAACTGACAAATAGAGGGTTAGCAAAGCCTACCAGAGTATGGGATCGAGTATGAGATTGAAGTTGACAAATAGAGGGTTAGCAAAGCCTACCAGAGTAATTGATTCATCAGAGATTAAAGCTGAAGAATAGAGGGTTAGTAAAGCCTACCACAGTTATCGGAATATATTGATATCGATTCATTAGATATCAAAGCTGACCAATAGAGGGATAACAAAGCTTACCAGAGTGATGAGATCATTTGAGATGAAGCTGACCAATAGAGGGTTAGCAAAGCCTACCAGAGTAATCAATTCATTAGAGATTGAAGCTGACCAACAGAGGGTTAGGAAAGCTTACTAAATTAATGGAATCTTAGAGATTAAAACGGACCAATAGAGGGTTAGGAAACCTTTCCAGAGTGATGGAATCATTAGAGATTGAGGCTGGACAAGAGAGGGTTAGCAATGCTTACCAAAGTAATGTGATCATTAGAGATTGAAGCTGACCAATAGAGGGTTAGCAAAGCTTACTAGAGCGATGGGATCATTAGAAATTGAAGCTGACCTACAGAGAGTAAGCAAAGCCAACCAGAGTGATGAGATTATTAGAAATAGTGGTAAGAAGCTGACCAATAGAGGGTTAATAAATGTAAGCCTGTCAGAGGGATTGGATCGGTAAAGATTGAAGCTGACCAATAGAAGGTTAGTAAATGTAAGCCTATCAGAGGGATGGGAGCAGTGAAGATTGAATCTGACCAACAGATTGTTACCAAAGTCTACCAGAGTGATGGATCATTATGGATATAGATTTGTCAATTTGTCGAGGAAAAACACGGAGCATTATTGACATCTCTTTTTTTAATTCTATCTTTGTTAACATTGTCGGTTAAGCGATACAGCTAGTTATGAAAGGCACCCAACCTTTTTCAGAGATTTCCATAAAAAAAATTATGAACTTGTTTTTTTTTTATTGTTTAAGGAAGCTTTATGACTTTAACTAACAGCAAAAGAGGCTGTAAATAGATTTTCGAGGACAGATGAAGGATGATGTTTTATACTTAGTTTTGAATTATTTGCGTTATATATATTTGGTAATATGAAACGACCGTCTTTGATGTCATCAAGACTCTACCCTGATTTAGTTCTATAGCCGATGTTATCTGGGGACCCGTTCGATATATGATAAGATCTACATTGTATTGATAATATTAATCACATTATTAAAAAATCTAACGCTTTTAATGCTAATATATGCAACGAGTTATTTGAATGCTTAATACTCTATTCCATAAACTACCCATAAAATTCCAAATATTTTCATCTTCTAAACGTTTTATCTTTTTAAACCAGTGATAAATGCGTTGGAAGTCGCCTATCTGTTTTCCTTTGTAACGTTTCAAACATTTCTTATAGATTTAATGACATACATATTAACGATATTTCAAAAAGTCAATTCATAATAGCTAATTTAAATGTTGTACCCGACATGCTTTGCGCATATGAATAGTTGGGTGTTTGTAAGAGTGTATAGATACGATTGATCGCACAGGACTTGCATGAATTTATCGTCGTCCCCAACTCTTTGATGTGGGGAATTTTGGATTAAATGTAAAACATATCAGTATCGATGTGAATTATCTCATCAAATTTAGTCCCACCTCGGGTGCACCGTGCAGTAAATCTTGATAATTCCGCCATTTTAGTAATTATACAATCTGAATGTATTCAAGATTATCTTCTAGGGGAGGCTTTGTGAGTTAGGCGACCATTTCCATTTGCAGCAAAGCTTTCTAATTATTTCTGTAACATTAAGCTTAGCGTGTTTGAATAGAAAGAAAAACAGAGAAAGGGAAAGCACTGAAACGAATTGAAGATAATACATTGTCTACGACTGTTTGTGACCGGGCGATTGAAAGATATTGGTACTTTTTCTGCAAGATGTAAAATCCTTTTCGCAGGTTAAAACCACATTTTCTATTCAGCATAATTTGAGATAATATTTAATTCGATTCTGGTGGCTTTGTATTCAATATTATAAACAGAGTATTGATTTTTACCGGATTTTAAGATTGAAAGTACATGATCATCTATTCAAGTTCAGATGGGATGAAATAGAACACCGTATTCTAGTGGTGGCCGATATCAGGTTTATTTGTTCTGTCAAACTTTCTTCATTACATTATATAAATTTATACATTAATTACACCTTTTTTAATATAACTGTATTTTTAGGGTTTTTAAAATACAATTTCATCAAATTGTTCATATCTTTTTACAAAAGTAAGGCAAAAGAAGAAGTAAACAGTAAATAACTTGCTGGAGGCAAAAGCTAGATCATCCAGTGTCAGTTTAACTGTCAAACGTACTAATAATTAGGTTTGTATAGTAATCACTGTTATTTTCATATGTGATGTTAAGTACGAAGCTTTATTTTCTTGTCACAATTGCCGGGCATCCTTTTAATGTTTTTGCATATGTATGTCTGGAAAAGCAAAATTCCATGGTATCAAACACCGAGAAGAGGAAGACATAGTCGAGGGCCAAGGTAACAAGTAACGAGACACCTTCCACCTTAAGTTAGTGCTATATGTGAGATGCAGAGAAAGGAACAATATAAACTGGAAAAAAGATCAACTATACTCGCATTTTTACCAATGGCAATATCTTCGACAGCAGGGTCAGAATATATTCATCCTCACAATGTGAAGGTTTTTTTTATTTCGGAACTCCACACAAACCCTTGACATAAGTCGCTATTTAAAAGTTGGGTTAGAAAGCTACTATTTCATTTGTTCTTGATCTAGGACTGGAACCAATCAGAAAACAGCTTTTATTGCAGGTATTAAAGTTTTGTAAACAAATATGACTCGTCTTTAAAATGGAAAGTGTCGATATTGTAGGACTTGTGACTAATAACATTAAAATGAAATGGGGATTAATTTTTGGAAGATCGTCCTCCTAACAATCATAAAAGATATGCTCTGGAGTTGGGTCATTTGAAAACGACGGATTTGAAAAATATATTCTCATTGGTTAGTTTATAATTACCCATTTCGACATGTATAACCACAAACCAAACTTAAAAATAGCATACCATACAAATAAAACAGTAAAGCATACCATAAAAATAAAACAGTACAACATTCCATACAAATAAAACAATACAACATACCGTACAAATAAAACAGTATAACATACCATAAAATAAAATAGTACAACATACCATAAAAAGAAAACAGTACAGCATACTATACAAATAAAACAGTACAGCATACCACACAAAAAAAACAGTACAGCTTACCATACAAATAAAACAATACAGCATACCATACAAATAAAACAGTACAGCATTCTTTACAAATAAAACAGTACAGCATACCATACAAATAAAACAGTACAGCATACCATACAAATAAAACAGTACAACATACCATACAAACAAAACAGTACAGCATACCATACAAATAGAACAGTAGAACATACCATACAAACAAAACAGTACAGCATACCTTACAAATAAAACAGTAAAGCATTCTTTACAAATAAAACAGTACAGCATACCATACAAATAAAACAGTACAACATACCATACAAATAAAACAGTACAGCATACCTTACAAATAAAACAGTACAACATACCATACAAATAAAACAGTACAGCTTACCATACAAATAAAACAATACAGCATACCATACAAATAAAACAGTACAGCATACCATACAAATAAAACAGTACAGCATAACATACAAATAAAACCGTACAACATAACATACAAATAAAACAGTACATCATAACATACAAATAAAACGTACAACATACCATACAAATAAAACAGTACTTCATACCATACAAATAAAACAGTACAGCATAACATACAAATAAAACAGTACAGCATACCACACAAAAAAAAAACAGTACAGCTTACCATACAAATAAAACAGTACAACATACCATACAAATAAAACAGTACAGCATTCTATACAAATAAAACAGTACAGCATACCATACAAATAAAACAGTACAGCATACAATACAAATAAAACAAACAGTACAACATACCATACAAATAAAACAGTACAACATACCATACAAATAAATCAGTACAGCATAACATACAAATAAAACCGTACAACATAACATACAAATAAAACAGTACATCATAACATACAAATAAAACGTACAACATACCATACAAATAAAACAGTACTTCATACCATACAAATAAAACAGTACAGCACAACATACAAATAAAACAGTACAGCATACCACACAAAAAAAAAACAGTACAGCTTACCATACAAATAAAACAGTACAACATACCATACAAATAAAACAGTACAGCATTCTATACAAATAAAACAGTACAGCATACCATACAAATAAAACAGTACAGCATACAATACAAATAAAACAAACAGTACAACATACCATACAAATAAAACAGTACAGCATTCTATACAAATAAAACAGTACAGCATACCATACAAATAAAACAGTACAGCATACAATACAAATAAAACAAACAGTACAACATACCATACAAATAAAACAGTACAGCATACCATACAAATAAAACAGTACAGAATACCATACAAATAAAACAGTACAGCATACAATACAAATATATCAGTATTTTTATGAATTTATGAACATATTAAAAAAAATATCTACATTAAAATGATTCTTGACACAAAATAGTACAGTTCCTACTGAACTTTGAAGCACTTTGTCTGAGTACTATAAATTTGACATTGAAGCAATGATTATAATATAAATCTTCTTTACGATTGCTAATATGTTGGTAGTAAACTTTCCTTCTCATAATTATAATTCTTCTGTATCTTATTTGGTTTCGAAAGCTCTCGGTGTTTGTGCATTTTTTTTTTTATGTCATTAGACTTCTCATTGCATACTTTGAACCGAGAGTATAAAACTGATCAGTCTCTAGATTTATCGGATACAAGTCTTACATTTAAGATATGAATGAAATTAACATAAATATATAGAAAATATTTGTTAGCATCTAGAAAACAAAGATTTATAAATTCATTTTTTCTTGCCAGTTTAAACAGTGGATCAGGTTAATATTTTCTATCCAATATTGCAAATTGAAATGATAATAGATGAAATGTACTGCATTCAAATTACAATCAAACGATATTTAGTAACTGTACTGAAACAAACCAGTAAGCTGTCCCCAATTAACTGATGACACGCGTTTGTTGTGATTGAAATCGAGGTGAAATTGAATTGCTTAGAGATCATCTTCTTCATTTCTATTGCATTAAAAGTAAGAAATCTTCTGCATGCTTTCTGTTGATTACAAATGGGTTTTTTAAATTCAATTATTTTGGATCTTACCAATTATTAATTACTATCTATTAACTGGAATTAACCCAGTTTTGTCTTGTTTTTGTGACTTGTATAGACTACCATTAAGAAATAATTTGACAACCAATTTTTGATGGCAAATAAATTCAATTTATTTGAGATTAAGATATTGACAATGACATGAACACCAATTTATTTGAGATTAAGTTGTTACTTTGTTTGTAAAATAAATTCTAGGTAATTGCTTTCCCTTTGTTTTGGCATTAATTGAATTGATCCTAGGTTAACTGACTTTATGGCGATCCTAACGATATTCATATCACTAGAATTTTGATTGAGCATC